CTCTCTCTCTCTCTCTCTCTCTCTCTCTCTCTCTCTCTCTCTCTCTCTCTCTGTGTGTGTGTGTGTGTGTGTGTGTGTTACATGCTGCGCCTGCACACGCAGGCAGTTTTTCAGGCCCTGCGCCCTTCAGGCCGAAAGCCTGAATTTCAGGCCTGTAATGACCCGTCAAAACACAGACTGAGAACACTGCTGATTTCTGAAGTTCTGTCGATGGAATGGATGCCTTGCGGAAATTCCCGCATTCTGCTGTGTTTTCTAAGTCTGTCTGTGTGTGCGTGCTTGCGACCTGCATGCCTGTCTGAGTGCTTGTCGGTATGAGTGTGTGTGTGACCCGCAAGGGTACTTGCTTGTTTGGTAGGCCCGTAGGGCCGGTACTTACTTGTGGCCGTTGTCGCGCCCCCACTGCTTCAAGGGTCTGGTTGGATATCCTTCCCCAGACCGAGCTCAGTGGGTTGGAGGACTGGCAGTTTGTCACGCATGATTTTTTATAGGTATAAAAATTGAGGTGTGTTCAGAGGCAGTCACACTTTATCATACAGCGGAGTAGTCAGGGTTATCCCTCCTGCCAGCGGCGACACGGCTTAGAGTGAGGCGTTCGGGTTTATCGCGTGCACCTGACCCCGTATAAAGGATAGACTCAAGGTCAGCAGAGTCCCTATCATTCAGGAGTCCTTCAAGCTGCCTTGAGTCTATCCTTTATACGGGGTCAGGTGCAGGCAATAAACCCGAACGCCTCACTCTAAGCCGTGTCGCTGCTGGCAGGAGGGATAACCCTGACTACTCGGTTGTATGATAAAGTGTGACTGCCTCTGAACACACCTCAATTTGTATACCTATCAAAAATCCTGCGTGACAGCCTGCCAGTCCTCCAACCCACTGAGCTCGGTCCGGGGAAGAATATCCAACTAGACCCTTGAAGCAGTGGGGGCGCGACAAAAATGGCGCCGTTGCCGGGGACTCAAAAACTTTGAGTTCCTCGGAGCGGACCTTGGTCACAACATTCTGTGACTAGGCAGCAGTCTAGCATACTTTCATACAAGGTCTGGCTCAGGTCAAAAAGACTTTCGGCTAGGGGAGCCCCGAGAGGAGGGGCCTCTTGCAGAAGTCTATCTGAAGTGATTCAGACCTGCAAGCAAGGGTTTGGAATTTGTTCTCTGGACCCTTCGCTTGAGAAATCCATAAGTCAGAAACCAGATGATGACTGAAGAGTATAATGTCCTAGAAGCCCTAACTCATGTCACCTATGGTGGTGCTTTCCCTTATATGTTTGTTAAATGCATTACTTGTGTGAAAAATACAACGACTGTGCATGTGCTTGTCTCTAGATCAGGACCCTAGTTTCTTTACTAACTGGGATGTCATAGTGGAGTGTGTCAAAGTCGAGAGGGATCAATTGAGACAGCAAGGGATAGGAGCGAGTTGGAGCTTACTGCCTAGGATTTATGAGAGGATTCCTACCCCGCCAGTACCTAAAGGGTTCTGCGATGGTAGGAACTGGCAGCCAATCATCAATGCAGCACTGAGGAGGCAAACCTGGTAAGTAGTCAATGTCAGCACTAACGAAAGCGATAGAGGCGCTGACTAGGATCACGGCTCGGGGTGCCTTCCCGTACGTCATTGAGAGGTGTGTGACTTGTGAGCACGACTCAGTGATCTTGTACGTCCTTGTAGCTTGATTTCTCGATACGGATGACTATGATGTGAGGGCATATGTATCTGCTGAGACAAGGAGAGGGATCGATTATGAGGCATGTTGGATATCTGCTGCTGAGTATGTCCTGGATGAAAGGCTGTTGCCGAGACAACGAGGGAAGAAAGTGACTTGGAGTGTCCTGCCTAGAGAGTTTGAGAGATTCCCAAGTTCGTCTGTGCCCGCTAGTTTCTGCTACGGAAAGGACTGGGGGCCAATCCTCAACGCGGTACTTAGGGACCGAGTGTGGTGAGCCATGCCAAGAGATGTCTACATTCCTGATGACGGAGAGAGCTCCTGCTTCGAGGTCTATCTAGATGAGCAACGAGCGACTGTCATCGGGGTCATGAGAGGATGCGACACTAGGCTAGGTAGGCGCGATGAGATTGGCATGGTATAGCACTACCTTGAGCTTATGCGGGCAACTGCTTTTAGAGCAATTACGGATCAGACTAAGATTAGGCATCTGCTGGATTGCAAGAGTTCGGACGGCAGGAGAGTGATGCTGCATGCGAGGGATGAGACCATCCTATCTAGACAGCATCCTGCGGACAGTCTGGCTAGAGGCGCTAGGAGCAGCCCAAGGCAATGATATTGGAATGTGAAAACTCTAAGTCGATTGCGATTGTGACCATTGGTAGAGGATGGTTAGATAAAGCAACTGAGACCGACGGTCCGTTCGAGATATTGAGACACGACGTCTGTAAGGAAGGGCGTTTAGTATTCTATGTTCCAATGGTCAGATTTCTCAAGACTGACGAGCTTGACGTGAGGGTTTATGCTCAGAAAGGAATAAGAGAAGAAGAAGGTTATTTAGAGTGCCTGAGGAGAGTGTACATTCACCTTTCAAGGGTAAGGGAGCTACTTCGAAGTTTGGATGAGAAAGTGACTTGGGGGAAACGAGTCAAGCAATTCGAAAGACTCCCTAGTTTTCTAACTACGGATAGCTTCACTGACAGGAGAGATTGGGCGCCTCTTCTAGAAGTTATTGTCGTGGTTGGTAAGGCAAGAGAGAATGACCTAGTCATGCGACCAAAGACGCTGTTTCTTGACACCTTTGTTCGACGATTTGAAGTTCAGGACGAAGCTTCTCCTGAATTTTTCCTCACCTGACAATGGAAAGGAACTTGTTATCGCTGAGGAGAATGTTGGTTTCCTAGGAAGCAGACATATTTGGAAGAAGGCTGAAGGAAGGGTATTACCAGATATTAATTCTTCGGTCATCTCGCGCCTACTCCGGGATTTGGAACCCTTCACGGTAGGAGGGGCGTTTCCTTATAAGATTGAGAGATACACAGTCTTAGCCATACCTGAGGCAGAAGAAAAAGTGTATGTGTTAGTAACTCGCTTCTTAGAGACCAATGAATATGACGTGCGTATATACACTCCAGTGACTAGGAAGATTTGGCGGCGGTATATTGGGTGCCACGAGTGGGCACTTAGTCACGTCTGTAAATACATAAACGAACTCAAGAAGGAAGGTAAGAAAGTTACCTGGAGTGTGGAGCCTACTGAGTATGAAGGTTTCCCAAGTCCTCCTATTCCAAATAGCTTTGTCAATGGTGAGAACTGGGAGCCGATCCTTAATACTGTCTTAAGAGATAGAAAGTGGAGCAGTGCCTCTATTGAGGATTCTAGTTAAAAGACTTAGTAGGCGCTGGAAAAGATTAGACGTATCGAAGAGACAAAGAAGAATCATGGGGGTCGCTGGGGACTGGGCAATGTCTGGTTACTATCCGGCAGTCACGGCAGAACTAGACGCCCTAGTTCCTTTTACCGGTGGAGGAGCTTTCCCGTACAAGATAGAACGCTGCATATCCCTGGAGGAGAAACACACACCTGGGAAGACGTATATCCTTGTGGTGAAGTTCCTTGACACCGGTGAGTACGATATTCGACCCTATGTTCCCTCATTAAGAGAAAGAGGGACAGATCGCGAATCTTTTCGAAGCTGGATTAGTAATACAGTTGATCAAGAAAAGAGAGAGTTAGAAAGAAAAGGAGCAAGAGTAGTGAGTAACCTAACTCCAATTGTGTTTAACAGTTCCCCGGACCAGTTTTGCCGGAAAGTTTTACGGACGGCAGAAACTGAGATTCAATTCTAAACGCAATCATAAGAGAGAAAAGGTTCAGGAAGAAATAGAGGTTTTAACCAATAAATCAGACAAGATGGTCAGGGGACCGGACGCAAGGCAGAACCTTGCTAGTTCCTCCGCAGGTGACGGAGAAGTGACCACTACCA